ATATAACAAGATTCAGAATACCAATCAGAAAGTTTCTTGGACCTTACTGGTGAATCAATAAAATATTGTTGCTAAGCAAAAGACAGGATTCAAGACACTGTTCTGGATCCATATGCACTCTCCACTGACATGTAGTAGAACAGAAAGGAAGTTTGGAAAAATGTGTTCACAAAGATTGGCTTTAAGTCCACTAAAGCAAACAAAAGTAAGCCACATATGTATAGCATAACCCTGTAACAAATAACTTTTAGACCAAAAAATAGCTATATTTGTGGCAAATACATACTTTGGACCAGTGCACCCCATTGTCGTTCCCAAGCCTCCATTGAGCTTCAGGACAACAAGTTTGTCTAAGAGCTTCTTTGTTTCTGTAGGATCTGCAATGATCGAGATAGTGAAGCTTCTTCAGAAACATTTTCAGTTGGATCTGATTTTCTTAAGAAAATCATCTTCCCACCAGAGGCAAATCTAGCACCTCGCCACAGATTCAATTAAACTCATTGTTTTTTGCTCACACCATGTATACATATGTAAAAATAATACCTTCAGAGAGAGGTGCTAACTTGTCATAAGGCACCACCACGTCATCGGTTGGCGTCTGGATCTTACTCCACTCAACATGTTGAGCCTCGCCACTATAATTCAAATGCCATAAGATCATGAGTTGATCTGCTACTTTTAATTTTTGCAAGCTAAAACTAGCATTATTTGTAAAGGCTCCAAAATTTATACCATATCCGAGATAATCAGAATCTATAGACACTACTAAAGGACTACCTAAAATCACCTAATCCACATTATCTCAAATCCATGTAAAAAAAAGCATTAAGCTAACCACATCCTAAAGTTCAGTAAATTAAAATGATTAGTGCAATAAATTTCAGTAAACAGAGATATCAGCCCAAATTGTACCTTAGATAGCGAGTGACAAGGTTAATAAATCCGGATTTCTCATTATCACTGCAAAAAAACAAGTTCACACGAAATAAAAAATTAAAAAAAAATTATCAGGTCTGGATTAAAAAAATTGAGCAAGACATGGAGAAATGAGAATTGAGATAAATATAGCATGCGGCAAGTAAATCTAAGTAAAACTACACACACACACACACACACACACACACAACAGAATTGTAGATCCACGTAAATGAAATCGAGCATTGAATTAAATTAACCACATTCTAAAGTTCAGTAACTTAAATTGAACTTTAGATTTCTCATTATCACTGCAAAAATAATTGTGAGGTACGGATCAAAAAACGATCGATATATGGAGAAACTGAGATAAATAGGAAATGCTGCTAACATGCAGCAAGTAATCTAAGCAAAACTACACACACACACACACGGCAGAATTGTAGATCCACGTAAATGAAATCGAGCATTGAATTAAATTAACCACATTCTAAGTTCAGTAAATTAAAACGAACTTTAGAATTCTAATTATCACTGCAATAAATTTATCAGGTACGGATCAAAAAATGAGCGATATATAGAGAATTCAAGATAAATAGAAAATGCTGCTAACATGCAGCAAGTAAATCTAAGCAAAACTACATACATTCACACACAAAAAAAAAGAGGAAATTGAAATGTGAGAACTGAGATTTGAAAAAAAAAAAAAAAAAAAAAAAAAAAAAAAAAAAAAAAATGTTGCCTGATTTGGTTAAGGCTGGCAACGGCAGATTTGAGGTTGGTGAGCTTCTCGGAATCAGCAGGACTGAGTGTAGCTGTAGCCATTGGAGAGATGTATGAGTTCCTTATTAATTAATATATTCAGTGATTCGAAGCTTCTCGAAAATGTGAATTGGAAGGAAAGCTTAAAAACAGTGTGATAGATAGAGGTTGGGGAAGGGGAGGAGTATTTATAGAGTAAGGAGAGTACGAAACAAGTGGCAGGTAATGAGGTTAAAAGTACAATTTGTGGGCGAGAGAAAATTGAGAATATGCAGGGGATCTGACTTGTTTGAGGAGACACTTGTAATGTGTTGGTTATTCAGAGACTCGAGAGAGACTATTAATTGTAATAACTTCTATTAATATTTAAACTAAGGGTGTGTTTGGTACGAAGAAAAAAATTTAGGAAAATATTTTTTAATTTTTTTTTTTGTTTGATTGACTTAAATGTTTTTGAAAAATATTTTTTTAATGAACTCATCTTCCTCCAATTTGAGAAAAAATATTTTATAAAATTCTTTTTTAACATTCCCCACCCCCAACCCCACCGCCACTCCGGCACTTAAAACCCTGCCCTCGCCCATGTCATCTCCTATAGTGTTTGCCTAAATTATATATTTATCAAAAAATATTTTTTGCTACTTAATCATACACCAAAAAATAAGTAAGAAAATCAGTATTTTCCAAAAAAAAATATATATCCAGGAAAATATTTTCCTTCGTACCAGACACACCCTAAATTATACTCCTATTAATTTGTGTGATTGAGTAATATATTGAGGTGATATTGTTGCAACTAAAAAATATGAAAAAAGTGTTTGCGAGCAATGGAAAGATGTGTTGGTTTTGTAGTTAAAAGAATACAATTACTGTCACAGAATATATGTAATGAGTGCAAATATTCTCATTAAAGTGGTGCATAAAATGTGTTTAAATTGTGAATCCGCCTTTTAATTATCTTGTTCTTAGAGTTTGAAGAATTATTTCAAAATAACTCAAGATTAAAATATTAATGATGCGCTAAGAGTGTCGTTCTTCTTTTTACTGTAAAAGTCATCATTTCTAAATAGTCTTGTTAAAAGTTTACAATAAAATTCTAAAGATTCCTATGAAAACAATGGATCACTTATGCGTCAACAATTAAAACCGTGGTCTAAAACACGACGGAATTATTTTGCTTGTTTGAAAATGTTTTTAAATGGATTCTATGGGCAAACTTACTGATTTTGATTGGCTAATTACTGTACTTTGACAATAACACAGTTATGAATCTTCCTAACATACTTGCAAAACTCTAGAAAACTGCTAGGTTCACAAGCTAGTTTTTCTATGAATTAGACTTATATAATTTGATTATGTAAAAAGAAAAAAATATTATATCCGTTATAACAGGTTACCTATCTTATGTTTTAGGTTATTAATTTCATTTACTATGTACAATTTTATATTGTTATCTTTTAGTAACATGCTAGTTATAAAAATACATTTATAATGTTAGAGTATAGAATAAAAATGTCAAAATACTAAATAAGTTGTATGTAAATCAAGAGTGTGAATTTTTTCTGTAAATACAATGTCAAAAGAAGTATATCTTTACTATATAAACAAACACGCACGTAGATTAATTATAGGTTGTTGATTGTGAATCTTGTGACAGACATTGGCAACAAAAGTTTAATTATCAAGATACAATTCAAACTGTAGTATCATGAGTTCGAATAGTAGTGATCTTGAAAGAACGTCCTAATTAAACTATATTGAAAAATGTTGTGCTGGATCGAGGTGGAGCAAATAAAGTCAATAAAAGCTTTCTAAATCTCCCATATTTGTAATCCATTAATGTGAAGGAAAAATAACTGCAAATTATAACAAAGAGATGCAAAGACGAGCCATTTAATTACCAACTCATTATATATGATTCCTTTTGCTCCTAAAATGGAAGAAGTAATTTACAACAAAATGTAATATAGACAAATAAAAAATTTCTTTACTTCATTTAACAGCATCATTCATAGCTTATTCCATGTTTCTTACCAACTTTAATCTCAATTTGAGTCGAAAATATAATAAAATACAAGTTTAATCTCTTTTTTCTCCCCCTCTTTCTTTTATCGTTTGGCCTTTTCTTTCTTGTCCATTTTTTCTCAGATTTGTCTTTGTAAGGGCTGTTCTTATAAGTGAAGCTATAAATTAATAAGTCATCTGTATTTTCTAAATTTTGTGCTTTTAAGCTTTTGTACTTTATTGTTTTAAGGCATAAATTTCTCTTCTTAGACAAAACAATCATCTTTAATTTATCATTCTACACCACTATTTTGACGCATTCATCTGAGTATTTTCTGAATGAGCTACTTAGCTCTTCCTAAAAAGAAACTGAAAAACCATGACATCTTACGTGAGTGGACGACTGCCAATATTTGCCAAATGTGAAATTCAATTATCCTTCTAAATTGTGCAGTAGAGTTTGGTCAAAATATGGATAACCACAGAAGTGAGAAAATCAGGCAAAAAAAAAAAAAAAGGACAGTTGGACGCATATTAAAGAAGCGACCTGCTGGAAATTTTAAAAAAAGTCAGACTCTCTTTGTAGAATTATCTGAAAAATTAATTAGAAAACTTGAGCATCAACTCCATTTACATTCTTAGCCAAACTTAATGTCGTAAAATTCTAAGTATATAAGTTAGTTATCATAGATTTAATCTTTTACAAAACAAACTGAGCTTGTAAAACTACCTAAGCAAATAACATTAAAGAAGAATTATTTTTTTGTAAAGATAATTTACAATTATTTTTTGAAAAGTATAATCAACATACACTTGTTCCTATTAGACACTTCAACCCCCACAAAAATGTGTCTATTGAGCACCTCATGCACATCTGGAATAAAAAATGACACTCACTTGGAGTTGGGCGGGTGAATAGCTTGAAAATCAATTTTTTTTTCTCTCTCTAAATTGTCCATATCAACTGTAACTTTATGCAGAACTACGTCTACTAAACCAGGAAAAAATGGCAATTGATCATAAATAGTAAATGGCATTCTGCACAGTTTGAGAGAAACTACCTGTAAATAGAAATATATGATCAACAGTTAAAGATAACAGATTGACCGTTCAAAATTTCCATTTTCCCAAATGCCAAGCATGATTGCGCAGCTCGGAAATGGCCACTGAAAAAGCTCCACAGAGAGGAACTACAAGTTTTTGCAGTATCGCTGCAGCAGCAATAGCTATTTTGCTTCTTAACAGCAGTTTAAACATTTGCTTGTCTTCCATTTATGTGTTTCTGAGGGGTATGGGGGTACTTTGTTTAGTGCAAACACTTGAAGTACTTGTTCTTTCTTATGACGATACATACAGAGAACAACTACTTGCTCCACAAAATCTGAACTTGTATATACTAAGACAAAGAGAATGAAAGAATGAGTCTTAGCCCTTCAATCTTGATACAATAGCATCTGTCGTCCCACAAATTCCAATATAAATATTCCACTATTGTCGTTTGAAAAAAATTATCAACTCGGCCATTTAAAAAAATAGTGAGTCTACCTTGCAGTAGGATAAATGAAGAGCTGAGGCAGTTCTGAAGCTCAACCATAAGCAGCATCTTACAGAAAGCCAGATTGACTCAGTGCTACGGGAGTTAACTTTGACTAACAGACTATCTCTTGTCTGATCTCTTTTGTTCATGAGCCTCCTAGCCTAAAGACAAGTCCAAGTTGCTTTCATTTAAATATTGTCGTTCTGTAGGATTATCTTGTGGAGCCTGACAGATAAAGACACAATTGAGACATTACACAACAATATACCATTGTCGCTATTGGACTCACAAAAATTAGAATTCCAGTATCTACCAGACTTGTAGAACAAATGACCAAGGCAGTTCAGATCCCAACAAAAGGATAAACTATCATCAAAATTCCTAGTAAAAATAAGAAAAAGCTCTTTAGAAGGGAACCAGGACTTTATCAAGTTGGGGATGGGAAAGCTTTAGAAAATACACCACTCTACTGAAATAAAAGCACTCTCACATTATCAAAAAATAATAGCACTCTTTTACGATAAACTGCAATAAAAGCACAGTTAGGATCTAAACATATGTATGGCTTAGGAGAAGAGGGCTAGAACAAGAAGACACAACCAACCAACTCCACCCCCCCCCCCCCCCCC